TTTAGGTATATAAAATAATAAAAGAACTATCTAGAGTTACTATAGAAAATAATCTATAAGAAATAATAATAATAAAGTTAATTAAAAAAAGAACTAATAATTATCTTTACTAAAGAACCTAAGAAACTTATTAAAAAACTTTAATTCTTTTTTTAAGAAAAAAAAGAAAAGAAATAATTATAACTATAATTTATAATAAAGAAGAATAATTTTTTACTTTTATTTTTAATTTTTTACTAATGTTACTTTTTTTTTATTATATACTTTTTTTAAATTATTATTTAATATCTTAAATAAGAACTTAAAATATAAATAAAAGAAAGAAGTAGATAAAGAAAAAAGAAGAAAGAGTAAAAAAGGAAGAAGAGAATAGAGAGGAAGAAAGAAAAGAAATTAAAAAAAAAAGATAGTAAATAAAAAAAGAAATAGAAAAACTAGAAGAAATAGAAATAAAATAAGTAGATAGAGAAGAACTAGAAGAAAAAAACTAGAAAAAAAAACTATTTTAATTAGAAATTAACTTTTAACTTTCTTAGCTTAGCTTAATTAATAATATTTATAATAGTAGAAAATAAATTAAGTTAATAGTAGAAAATAAACTAAATTAATAATAGAAAATAAATAAATCTAATAGTAAAAAATAATTAAAATTAAAATAATTAGAATACTTATATTATAACTACTAGTAGTATTAAGTAAATTAAAAATATTAGCTAGAATATTTAGAACTATTTAGTTAATAATATTTAAAATAATTAAACTAGCTATATTAGCCTTATTAGCTAGAAATATTATAGTAAAATAGAAATATCTGAATAGTTGGAATAGCTACTATAACTATATTAGTAGAAAATCTTATAAATGAATTTTATAAAAGAATTTAAAAGAATAAATATAGAAGAAATTCTATAGTAAATATTAAAAGAATTATTAAAAAAAATATTAAAAATATTTCTTAAAAGAATTCTAGAAAAATTAAAATATTAGAAGAAATATTATATAAAATATTTCAAAAAATTAGAAGGTTAGTTAGCTATAATAGTATAAAATATTAAAGGAATTACTATTAGTAATAGCTAAAAGTTATAAAATACTATTAAAAAATATAAGCTAAAGAAATAAATATTAAAAATAATTAAAATAGCTATTGGAACTATATTAGAATAACTAAAGAAGCTATAGGAAAAGAAAATAAAATAAAAAATAAAAAATAAAAAAAAAGTAGAAAAAAAAATACTTAATAAGTAAAAACCTATTAATTAATAGTTTACAGACCTTAATAACTTCTAAGAATTAGAAAAAGTAGTAAAATTAGTAAGTAGCTCTTCTTTTTTTTCTCTCTTTAACTAAGAAAAAAACTTTTATTACTTCTTTCTCTTCTTTTAATTCTTTTAAATAAGAAAAGTCTTTTCTAATTTTTTTATATAAGAATAAAAAACTACTTCTTCTATATAATAATAAGCTAAGTACTAGCACCTCCTCCTAACTTAGCTAAAAAAAAATAAAAATATTAGAATAAAGGAAGATCTTAAAAGAAGGAATAATATTAAGAAGAAATAAAGAAGGCTAGAATATAAAAAGTATAGTTGTAAGAAGTATAAAAAGTATAGAAAGTAAAATTAAGAAAGAATCTTTCTAGATATCTTCTTCTCCTTCTATAGAGAAAAAGTCTATTTCTAATTCTTCTATAAAAAAAGAA